TATAAAATCCAGCAGTTGAGCGCCTAAGGTTGAAAATGGCTCTGGATAACTGTTGGATTTCATATTTTCCAAACTGGGAACCAGCCTGTTAGAGGTTAATATTTGTTAGATAAGCTAATGTTGTGTAGTTGCAGTACGTAATCAGGGTAAGACAAGAAACACACACTCACACAGCTGTTTCAAAAGCAAACAGCCTTGTGTGGGGAGACCATCGCTCCAAGAAGAACAAGTATTGCTTCTGATAGAAAAATATGAGGCCGAGTATTAAGGTTGTAAGGAACAAACGAAGGAGTGCTTGGTAGGGATGAAGAGGGATGGAGGAAGTCTGAGAGCTGCAATGTACCTCGGAGAGTAGTTTGCAAGAGGAATCTAGCAGAGGAAGAAGACACGCTCTCCACTGGGTCAGGTCAGCAGCCACAAGTCCTGCTGCTTTACTCTCGTAACACACCAACTGTGGGTCTCTCCATCCCATTAATCCTAACTGATACCCAGTTAGGGTATCAGTTAGGATTAGTTAACTGATGCAGAGCCTGCATAACACTCCCTGCATGGGTGGGCAACTGGTGGCCCCCAGATGTGTTGCCCTACATCGCCCATCTGCTTGCTTCCCCTTGGACCACTTCTGTGCTAGGAAGATATTGGAAGCCATTGGGAACATAATGTCAAGAGAGCATGTCTTCCCCTGCTCCTTCACTACACACGCTTTCTTAAAATGCTAGGCTTCAGTGAACAAATGAACGAAAGAAGCTTTAAGACTTAATTATGTTTGGAACAGACTCATTGAAAGCAGTGGGTCTTGAGTGAGTCACGGCTGGCTTATCTAGAATTGTTCTTAATTCTAGATGAGTATGTTTAAGTCTGGATCAGACCAAACCAGGGGCTTGGATCCAAGTTTGGTCAATCACCTGCTCCCAACTGCCTCCTGGTGCCCCTTCCCAATTTTTGTAGGAAGGCCTTGCAACCTCTCCAGGGTCGTTTCCTGCAGAGGGAAAGAGGGGAGGGTAACTTTCTTTCCATGCACTTGCAATGAAAATCAATGTCAGGACCTGCATGGTTGTAAAGAAAAAAACTCCTTCATTTTAATCTTGGTAATCCTGATTCGTTCAAGGCCATATGAAAGAGTTCTATTTTTCTGCACTTTGGCTCATCATCTGTGGGTAATAATTGTTCAGATATTCCATTTGTATTATAGATTTTGCTGAAGAGTCACAAGTTAGTTCTACATGTTCTGCAATCAGTCCCAGGCATTTTACTGGTGTTGGCTTCCACAGAGATCTAAAGGGCCTCAGCATCTTGTTTCAGCTCTTGCTGAGTTTGAACACTTTGATAAGTGAAGTACAAATGCAGGCAGAAATTGCATTGCTCAAACTTGGAGAGGGGATCAGGTGTTGATTACCAGGAATTGGCTCCTTCCCAGGAGTAGCAGGCTTTGGAAATGGCTCAGGGTCCTTTGGAGGGGAAAATTAAACAAACAAACTGCAAATGTTCTTTACTTGCTGCTTCAGCTGACACACAATAGCTTTCACGTAGGGAAATGTACATTTAGATTACCCCTTATTACTGAAAAATAAAATACGTTATGATTTTCTCATCTCCACTCAGTGGGCTGTGGGAGATCCGTTTGCAAAAGCCACAACCAAGGGCAGCCCTCCCTGTCCCAAGAGCTGCAGGTCACTCCATCATGGAAATGATGCTGTGATAAGAGCATGTCCTGGAACGTGCCTAACTCTGCACACGCTTACTAAGCAAAGAGGAAAAGGAAGGATGAGATCAACAGGGCCAGGGGCGTGGTCCTCCTCGTGGAGCCCCTTCCACCTTCCACGGAGTGGCACGCATGTAAGTAGATTCATTTCCAGGGCAGTACGCAATGTTAATCGAACATGGAGTGGGAAATGAGCAAGACTTAAGCTTGCCTTAACTAACTTAGATCTCACAAATGCTATTGAGTCTGTTCTGCAAAGGAAGCTTCCCTGGCTGTGGACCATGATCCAGGCTCCCCCAGTCTGATGTGCCTGGATGGTTTGGAGAACAAATCCCATCAGTCTCAGCCAGCACGGCAGGGGGTGCGGTCAAGACATCTCGAGGGCATCAGGCCAAGGAAGGGTGGGTTCCTCTTCTGCTCTGCCCATCGCCTTGGCAATACGGCCATCGAAAGCTGCACCGTCTCCAGACAGGTTTTCCTTCTTGGGGGCGAGGGACTTGGAAACCAAGCCTTGTGGATCCCAGCCCTGGACCCACGATGAGGAAATGCAGAACTCAGGGAGACCGACAAATGGCAATGTCTGTGAATTTTTGGGGATGCATAAGCCTAGCAAAATGGTGGCCGAGAAAAGTCTGGGTGCAGTTGAAGCAGCCGGGGTGAAGTAACCTTTCCGGATGCTTTGCAGGAACCCACGGGGGCGTTTGGGGAGGGGGCGAACAAGGCCGCAGCTCTCTATACTGACCAAATCAGGATCCTTGCAGGAGGGGGGGGTGTGGCAGGGAGTTGGCAGGGTGTGCGGATGAGGTCTGGAAGGCTGCTGCTTAGAGGGGGAGGCGGCAGCTTGTGCGATCCGAATTGTGCGGAGGAGTCCAACAGGCCTGACGTTTACAAGGAGTATGCAAAAAGGGGCGAGAGGCCTTGATGGATGACCTTCTGTCGAGATACGCTGACTGCAGGCAGCGCTCGCTCGCGCTTGTTTGCGTTCCTGCTGCTCGGCAGCACAGGCCCGGCACATTAATGAGGCCTGAGCAGAGCAGGCTGGCTCTCAAAATGCCAGCGCGATTACGAATTGGCTTCCTGAAGACCAGCCGGGGCCTTGGGAGCATTTCATGACACAGACTCGGATGCTAACTGCACTCAGTATTTAAATAGCTCCATTCCCCGAGCCCCTCGTTAGCCGCCAGGTTTCCTGCAGGGCCACTTCGAGGAAGCCATCAGGATGGGAGTCCCAAGAGGTGACATGCCCCGCATTGCTGGGGGTTTGGCATCGCAGGCCAGACGCCACTCTCAAGGGGAAGCGTTCACCCAGGGGTGGGGGCCTCCAGCCAGTAGCCCCGGCTAAAGCACTCCACCGCTGCAGCGCCGGTCAGCTTTGTGACCCTGCTTTCGGGTAAGGCCTTATTTCACTCTTTATTTTACGGACAGGAAACTGAGGCTGATGGGACTGCGGCTGCCCTAAGCCCAGCCAGTGAATGAGTGGCTGATCCTCGAGCCAGACACGTGTAGCTCATGCTCCCGGCCTGGCCCTGCGGGGTCAAACAATGCTGAGCTTTGTACGAATGAACTGTTGAGAGGCCCGAGCTGGGGGCCGAGTGTAGTGCTGGGGGTGGGAACACAAGTGATGCGGCTGGAGGGCAACTTCCAGAGCAGGGCTGAGGGCACCATCTGCCAAAGCGTCAGGGTAATTCATGGGCCCTCCCTGGACCCACAAGTGACTTGGGGGGAGAATGAGACTTTCGTTTGACTATTGTCCATGACATTAGCACAGAAGCAGTCAGAGAACAGGGCCAGCCCAGCGCCAGCTGAGCCTTCTTATGATATTAAGCTATACACATCTGCTGTCTGTGTGTGTGAGCACACGTGCGTCCATGCATGTTGTATAGACAATGTAGGACCACAGTTAGGCTCTCCTTGGGGGACTGCTCTTCACTCTTAAAGAAGTCAGAAGATCTAATCCTGGACCTCTTCATAATGGTCCAGAAATTGTAGTAAAAATCCCTGTTCTCTTATTGGAACAGAAGTCTCAAAAACACAGGAATAAGACATTTCTCGCTGAATTGCTAGCCAAAACCGTGTGACCTACTGGCCAGGATCAAATCTGCACGTTTCCAGAGGACTTGCCCTTTTCAGCTTAAAATGCTGATGCTGACACATTGGATGAAGAGAAGAATCAATATCCTGCTTCACCTCGGCAATGCTTTATACTGTGAGGCTCACTGAGTGACAATGATGAAGAAGGGTGCCGACAACAGAAGGCTGGCTGCATCTGGGTACTTTTCAGGCATCTTGCCTGCATTGTGGAAGAGCTGCAGCGAAAAGGAGGGTGGCTACCCCACATGGAAAGGGTTGATTCAGAACGTGAGGTTTCCAACGGCACGATATGGGATGCCAGGTTGCCAGCCTCCCTTACCTTGGTCTGGTGAGAAAATCCGCTCCTCTGCTCCTGTGAGGCCCAGAGATGCACCTGTCCCTTGACCAACCTTCCAGCCTCGGAAGAACCAACCTGTGTGGCTGCTTTCAACTTGTCCCGCAAGATCGTTAGTTCAAAGCTGGGGGGGGGGCACTTGGTCCCTCTGCTAGGTTTGCACAGGCACCGGCACATCCTTCACTGCACGGCATCAGGGCATGGACATGTTCCTCCTTTATTGGAGGGGAGGGAAGAAAAGGTGAAGACGGTGAAGTCAAGGTGAAACACGATCTTTGCCAAGTCTGCTGGTTGAGCTGAGCTGAGCCTGTCCTGCCTTCTCCATTCATAAGGTCCCCAGAACCAGCTGGCCTGTGAGGAAAGAGCAGCTGGAACATCTGCCCTGGAAGTGGACCCTCTGGGGATGTTCCTGCTTGGTGGGTGACAGCAGACCTCAGCACCGCCCGGAGGGCCGAGGCCCTGCTCTACGAGGCCAGCAGAGTCTGCCTGTCTTCAGTCACTTCCACAAGGCCTGGCCTGCCAGGCTATTCCTTGGCTGCCCACCAGGTTTGGGCTGTGAATGGGGAGCCAGGCAGCCCAGCCAGTCACCAGAACGCTGTGACATCGTCTGCTCATCTTGCCCTTTTTATTTGATATTGAAGCTGCTCTGGCAGCCTTTCCAACTGACGGGTGTACATGTGGGGCAATCCTTTCAATACATGCACCTTTTGGAAGATGTCCCTTTTAGTCTGAAATGTGTCCCTTGTGGATGCTGTAAATGTGATATAGCAGATGGAAGACTCAAGAGACCCCTTTCAAAGCTGCATTTGTATCAAGGCATCTCTCTAGCTCCATCTGCAGATGTGGAAGCACTGTTGGGCCTTCAGTGCTCACCGACATCACCGTACTGGAAGGCCATGGCTCGAAGCTCCTCTGGGGGAAGCTGGCCACCCAGCTTCCTCAGAGTCATTGCCTGACCAGCATTAGACAAGGGAGGCTGGACCAGATGGCATGAGTGGGTCCTAGCCTGGATCAGGCCCCAAGACCCAGGTTCTGCTTGAGGGAGTCGGGAGGATGGTGGTGGTCTTAAGTGACTCTCATGCTCCTGGGCAGACATGGATAAGCAGCAACTGGGGGTCAGAAGTGCCAGCATCAGAAAGCTTAAGTGTATATGGACAAGAGGGTTTGATATGCTGAGAGCTCAATAAACTGCAATGAAACTACTAAGGGGTATCTGAAGTTTAGTCTGAATGCATAAGACCAGTTCTGGCAGCCCATATGCTTCTGGTCCTAATTCAGGCTGCAAGTTTTAACCAATAAAGCCTTACATGACTTAGGAGTGCAATCTCTCTTGGAGCGCTTCTCCCAGCCGCGATCTACTTGGACACGATGCTCAACCTTTGGGGCCTTCCTCTGGGGGCAGCAACGGGGAGAGGGGTTTCTCTGTTGCCCCCTCCTATGGAGCTGCTTCCTCACTGAGGCCTGGCTGGTGCCAGACTTGTCATTTTTTGGCACCGGGTTAAGATGGCCCTCTTCTCTGTGGTTTGAAAGATTTACTTGGCCACCCAGGGGCTTCCCCATCCCAGGTCGGTCGGTCGGTCGGTCGGTCGGTCCTTCCCTCCCTCCCTCCCTCCCTCCTTCCTTCCTTCCTTCCGATGCTGCCCCATAGCCCATAGGGATCTATGGGTGGTGTACAATAAAAACAACAATATAGCCAACAGTACAAGAATACAATTTTGAAGAAATGTTCAGGGCCCAATATTGCTGTGATGGGTGTGCTCTGCAGAATATTCTTGCTATTGTCAGTTTTAGGTGTTTTGAAGTTTTCAATGTTTTTTTCTGATTTTATCACATCTTTTGTATTTTTATTGTTTGCTGTAAACTTGTGAGAGAGCTTTGGCTGTACGGAAATGAAAATAGCAGCCACATCACATTGTTGAATCCTATTCAGCTTGTGGTTTACAACAGTTTCAAGATCCGTCATCCTGCAAGTGTGCCCCATCTTGTAACAATGCTTTTTGTTTCTTTTTCCTAGGTGCATCACTTGGCATTCATCTCTACTTAATTTCATTCTGTTGTTTTCAGCTTAGCGCTCCAACCTATCAAGATGGCTTTGAATTTTGTCTCTGTCTTCCAGCTGCCCCATCCAATTTTGTGTCATTCATCAAAGTACGTATCATTTTCATAATCAGGGTAACTATTCTCTTGTTCTAGGTAGCATGTTTGAGATTGTACTCAACATTAACATTTTTTACTTTTGTGAGGCAAAGATCTTAACTGAAAAGCTTCAAACTGCCCCCAAGAGGGGGAATGCTGCAAATCAACCAACCAATTCAATTGATTTACTAAAAAGCAAGACTAAAATAATTAAAACTGTAATAGCAATGATAGACCTAGTACAGTTTACATCATTCTAACCTGTTTTATTAACAGTTTTCCTCTACCTTTCTGCAGGGAAGATTTCCATGTAAATTCAACACCTTCCTTCCATTTGTAAACAGCAAGAAAAAATCATCACGTATTTATGAAGAGCAAGATTTGGGGGCAGCATGGTGAAGTGTTCTAGTGAAAAAACCATGATTTAGTATAATCCCATTCCTTCCAGGTATCTTTGCAGAAGGATTTTATTATTAATCTCTTTGCCCTTTCTCTCCTTCCAATTCCCTTTTTGTCTCCAAAACACTTAGATAGCAGTTCTGCATATGGTTTTTCTTAATTCCCCTTTCTTTCCTCCCCTGTTGCCTGTGACCTTGTTATTTCTGAGGGAAAAGCTGTCAAGTGATGCATTTGCATTTCTTCATTCCAGAAGTAGCCTCAAAGAAGGGAAAGCAGGCGCAGCAAAGTCTCAAGTCTATTGTCACAAACCACCAGCTCCAGGATGTTCATCCACACAAAGGCCACCTCCAAATTCTCCCTTGTCATTTTTCATATGCCACATGCCAAGTGAGCCATGGAACTCAGTAACCAGACACAGCTGGTGCGACATCCTGTAAGTGACACTGTCACAAAGTTTGATGCTTTGTCAGACGAGATCTCCTGTTCAGCAGCCATGCCTGCAGCTGCCTTGCTTTGAAAGCTGGCAGTGGGTAGGGCTGCGTGCATTGTGCAGATGCAGCCTGTTCCAATCCGAGATCCCAGAGGCATGTAGCTGGCATAGGAAAGCCCCATCTGTAGGGGGAAATGAGGCGACCCTACAGTGGGGAAGAGTTCAGTTGACTACGAGTCCTCAGAATTTGGCAATAATCTACACCTCTGGCCTCAGCCCTCCTGCTGCCCTTAATTTTTCTGCCATTCGTTGGAACATCTTCCATGTCTCAGAGGTGCACACAAGTTTTGGCATCATATTTGACTCCTCTGTAAATTGAAGAGAAAGCGAGCCACCAGGTGCTGGAGACTGCTCTGCAATATTGTTTAAGGAACACCCAGCACCCCTCCCTCACTGACAGAGTGGCAGGCCGGTTTGTGCTGCAAGGAGAGTGCTGGAGAGGGCAGCTGTTGTCAGAAAAGGAGTCTGGGGCACAAGTACCTCATTTTTGTATGGCCCCTTTTCAACATGAGGGCCAGCTCCAACCTGGAAAGGTCTTCCAGGTCTGCATTGCATCTGTGAACAAAGCAACAGGTTACATGGGTGTGACCAAAACCGGAGCAAGCAGGGCTCAAGTGTGAGTATTGCTGAGTTACTCAGAAGCAAGCAGAAATTTTCTGCCTGTCTTCTCAGGAATAAGCAGGAAGTAACACTTTCAAGTAGCACCAGACATCTCAAACCTCTTCATACTGGCTGGAAAACAGGCATGAGCTGCATGCCTGCTTGAAAGTAAACAGGGCAGCCACTGAATATCCACCTGGGATTGGTCCTGAATCCGCCAGCAGCACTTCCAAATAGCATCCAAATGCTAAGCCTCAGCACACCCACTGAAAAGGACGAGATGCAAAAGCTAAGCAAGGCATCCTCATTTTTTTCTGAGACCTTGCTGGATGAGCAAGAGATCTCAGGTTGCAGCGCCCTTCCCTGCCAGTGTGTTTCGCTTAAGACACTGCACACATGTGAAACTTTTCCACAAAGGAGGCCTCTCTGCACATGCTCTCTTCAGTTGATGTAGTAAGAGTGCGAAACTTGGCTTTTGTTTTTCCATTTCTCTTTTGTGTGGTCCTGTGATTATAATAGGCACTGGCACTGTGCATTAGCAGGGGGTGACTAATTAATCTGAATAAAAGGGGGCGTATGCATCTTTTCAAGCTTTATGAAATTTATCAGAAAAACTGTGCAGCAATTTGAGAGCTCAAACCATCCAGAAATGACATTTGAGATTTCAAAAAATGGAATAAGAATATTTTTATTCAATAATAAAAAGGGGAAGGAGGCACTTATGGAACATTTCCCTTTGAACATTGGGAAATGAACATGAAATGAAAAATGAACATTTTCTGAAGTACGAAGGTGCAATACACCTCCTTAAATGATCAAAGATGAACGAATATGTGATTTTGATTTTTTTTTTAATCACACAGCCATTCACAGATTCACCTGGCAAACATCTTTGATTCAGTGTGATTTGTTCACAGATGGGATTCTTCCCATACTTTACATAATGTCAGCTGGCTCAATAAATGTGTATGAAACCAGAAAAGTCTCCTAAGCTATGTACTGAGATCCAGCACAAATCCCTTAAAAAAAAAAAAACAACCTCACAATATTTTCAAGCATTTTGGTTTCTCCGCTCACACTACAGACTTGGAGCACAGCAGAGAGGAAAACATAGTCTTAACTCAGTTGTTTTGTGTGGATCCAGGGGCTGGAACAGGGTCTGCACCCCCTGTCCTTGCAAACCGCTACGCCAGCTCATAGTATTTCCCAGTTTCAGGATCAAAATAACAGTTTAGACATGGGTCATACAGAAGAGTGAGAACTTCATCTTCCTCAGCCCCGAAGTCCACTTCACCTAGAACGAAATGAGTCCATTAATTTTCATTTGTGCTGGAAAAACAGCAGGCAAGAAACTGTAATATTCTGAGATGATTGCAAGATCTTTGCACGTTTTCACTTCATCCATGACTGAAATATTAATGGCAGTCAAAGCAACATGACCTTAATGGAAAAAGGTTGGTGAAAAAGTAGGAATTACAGAACTTACTGCCATGTTTCAAAATCAAAAGCGGAAGTGCTGCTTCCTGAGCTTTCATCAAAGCAGGGCCAACCCAAGACAGAGGACAAGACGCTGCCTTAAGCAAGTGGGAAGCACAGTTCAAGTTCACTGCCACACTGGCAGCAGAGTGGCATCCTCTGCCACACCTGAGGGCACCAGGCTGGCTCCAGGGGTGAAAGGCAGGCCGCGCGGCACCCCCTTTCCGATCGTGCAAGAGAGGGGGAGGCCGGGTGGCTGGCGCTGCTCCCTAAGCGTCTGCCAGCAAAGTCAGTCGCCTCCCGCTGCCCACTGGGCCGGCCCTGTGCGAAAGGTCCTCCAGGCCAGCAATCGTTTTCCGACAGTGGCTGAGCAGATGCCTCGGGGAAGTTCCTAGGCAGGCTCTGACGGGATAGTCCTCCCCTCCCGACAGGTGCACGCCCTCCGCAGACAGAGATATCACTTGGCTATTACAGTGGAGTTTTAATATTTTAAGCGTGGGCAAAATATCATTCCATCCTCTCACAGTTCCATCTGTTTCCCATGAAAGTGGGCAACTATTTCCTGTGGCTTCCAAAGGGTAGTTGGGTAAGTGTTGGTGAAATTTTGGTGTGGGGGGGTGTTTTGGCAGTTGCTTTACCTCTACAAGGTGGCTGAGGTTTATTTCCTGCTTTTTAAACTTTTAAGAACACCTCATGCACCCTGCCAACACAGTCACAGCCAAAAAGCGGCCACAGACAAACAAGAGGGAAATAAGAGCATGTTTGAGAGGGCTTTGAGGTTTGCTGAAGTAGGAAAGAACACAGTCCGAGGAGGGCTGAGCAAGCTCAGTGGCCGGAGAATGCAGTCGAATCTGACTGGGTGGGAAGAGAGAAAAGGGACGATGGCCCAAGCTTGCCGGCTCCCTGAACAGGGGCTCTCCACAACCTGTTGTTCCCAGGTCCACTCGGTTACACTGGAACTTTCATCTGTTTTACCTGGGCAATATCTTGCCAATGATCACCTTAAGGAAAGCTGAGCTCTGTGTGTCAACACCATTTTCCCCTTCACAGTCAGATAATCCCCCAGAAGGAAGTACAGAAGTTCTGGAAGGGCAGTGGGGCCCTTCAGGAGCTGCCACCTGGGACCTGGGACATCCCCTGCTCCATGGAAGGGCTGGCCCTACATAGGCTCCACAGCACGATCTACCAAAAACCTCCTGCTGTTGCTATTGCACTTTGGGATACAAAAACAAGGAATGTTTGCCATACATAGCAGAGGACAAGGCTGCATTCAGCTGGATGGACGACAATTTGTGTGGGCTGAATCTATAGGGCTGAGCAACAGAAATTCAGGGGGATACTCGGCCAAGATGCAAATCAAAACTTTTGTGAAAGTAAGACACAAGCTTGCCTTCTTCCAAAATCAAACAACATGGGGTGGGGGGAGGCGAAGACACAGAAATTCAGCTACAGCTGCTGGGCCGGTGCCCCATACCTTATGGCCTAATCTAGACTCACAACCCTGGCGAGCTGCTCCCAGGTGTCTTTAGTCTATTACACATTTTTAAGCTATGGCAGAGAGTGAATAGCCTAGTTTGGTCTTTTTATAAGAGCTAAAAAGGAAGGTAGATGATGGATACTAATGTGATGGCAAATAATAACTCACAGTTCAATGCAAGCCGTATTCCACATTTCATCCTAAGTGTTTACCTGTTTCTCAGAAGGACAGTACCAAGCAAGAGCACTCCATGCTCTGCTGGCTCAGAGTAATGACTTGTTATGTCAACAGCAGTAGCAGTGACTCTCCAGTGTTCAGGATGCATTTACAGCTGGGGTCGTGTGTGCTGCAGGTCATGCTAAGGGCAGAATACACACTGCACACAGATAACCCTGCGATGGACATCCGGTGCCCCTTTCCCATTCAGAAGGAACTCCACACTTTGTTCCCTGCCTTGTTTTTGTATCATCAAGGCTACACAGAAAGGGGGGTGGGGTGGGGAGAAATTAAATGATCTCAAAGGGTTAAGAACTGGATTGTGAAAAGACACTGGGTCACACCTGCTTGGCAGCCCGACTGGTCTGGGCCTGTAGATGGCATTAACCTATTTATTTATTTGGAATTTTTGTATGCCGTCCCATTCGCATAAGCCTCGGGACAGCTTCCAACATCATAAATAAATACATGTAAATACATTCATATAAAATCTAGATACATCCTGGCTCAATATTTAAAACCAATAAATAAAATCAACTATTATTAAAATAACTTTTAAATAAAAAGGTCTTGGCCTGGCGCCGAAAAACAAATGATGATGGTGCCAGGCGGACCTCTCTGGGGAGCGCATTCCATAAGTAGGGCACCACCACAGAGAAGGCCCTCCTCTGGGTACTCACCCTCCTAATATCTTTCACGGAGGGTTCCCGGAGAAGGGCCTCTGTTGCTGATCTCAAGGGGCAGGAGGGCAAATATGGACACAGGCGCTCCTTCAGATACCCAGGTCCCAAGCTGTTAAGGGCTTTATAGGTAATCAGCAGCACCTTGAATTGGGTCCGGGCTTCGATGGGGAGCCAGTGAAGCTGGTAGAAGACTGGGGTTATATGAGAACAACTCCCAGTCCCCGTCAGCAACCTGGCAGCTCTACTTTGCACCATCTGAAGTATCTGGACCGTTTCAAGGGCAGCCCCACGTAGAGCGCGTTACAGAAGTCCAGTTGGGAAGTAACCGATGCATGTGTCACTGTCGCCAGGCAATCGTTCTCCATGTAGGGATGCAGCTGACGGATCAACCGAAGCTGAAGCAAAGCATCCTTGCCACCGCAGTCACTTGAGCTTTCAGAGACAGCTCTGAGTTGAGGAGCACTCCTAAGCTGCGGATCCTGTCCTTTAGAGGGAGTGCAACCCCATTCAGGACAAGGTCCAAGTCACCTACCCCGGAGCCCAAACCACCCACCAACAGGACCTCCGTCTTGTCTGGATTGAGCTTCAGTTTACTGGCCCTCATCCAGCCCATTACCTCGGCCAGGCACCGGTTCAGTACAGCCACTGCCTCGCCTGGATTGGTTGAAAAAGAGAGGTAGAGCCAGGTATCATCAGCATACTGATAATTCCGCAGCCCACACCTCCTGATGACCTCTCTCAGTGGTTTCATGTAGATGTTAAACAGCAAAGGGGACAAAATGGATCCCTGCGGTACTCCCATGGCATAGCTGCCATGGCGCAGAGCCATAGTTCCCCAGCACCACCTTCTGGAATCGGCCATTGAGATAGGAGCGGAACCACTGCAAAGCAGTGCCTCCTACTCCCAATCCCGCTAGCCTATCCAGAAGGATACCATGGTCGATGGGATCGAAAGCCACTGAGAGGTCCAGGAGAACCAACAGGGTTCCCCATCTCCCTCCCTGCACAAGTCATCATACAGGGCAACCAAGGCAGATTCAGTACCATACCCGGGTCTGAAGACGGACTGAAATGGGTCCAGATAATCAGTCTCATCCAAGAGTGCTTGGAGTTGTCCCACCACCACCCGTTCTAACACCTTGCCCAGAAACAGGATGTTGGCCACCGGTCTATAATTGGTGGCCATCTCTGGATCCAGGGACGCCTTCTTTACGACTGGCCGGACTACTGCCTCCTTTAGAGGGGCAGGTACCCGGCCGTCCCTCAGGGAGGCGATGACCTGCAGGATCCAGGCCCCAATACCGTGTTTGGCTTTGTTAAGTAGCGACGACGGGCAAGGGTCCAGTAAGCAGGTGGTGGGACATACTTGTCCAAGCACCTTGTCCACATCATCAGGCCACAATAACTGGAACTCATCCAACAATGTTGGACCAGACGGCAACATTGGCACCTCCCCTGAGGACTCTGAATCACTAGTGGAGTCCAGCTCGTGACGAATCTGAGCGATTTTCTCCTTAAAATGCTTGGCAAAGTCGTCACAGTGGGCCATCGAGGATGGTACAGGATCTTTCTTGGGGCCTGGATGAACCAGTCCTTGTACCACCCGAAAGACCTCCGCCAGATGGCATTGTGAGGAGGCAATGGAAGTGGAGAAGAATGTCTTCTTCGCCACCCTCACTGCCACAGCATAGGCTCAATAGTGAGCTCTCGAGTGTGTTCGGTCAGATTCATCCCGTGATTCCTCCACCTGCGCTCTAGACGTCTCCCAACCCGCTTCATCGCCTGCAATTCAGGTGTATACCAGGGGGATGAACGGGCTCTGCCAGGCGGGAGAGGATGCTTAGGAGCAATCGTGTCAATAGCCCTGGTCATCTCCCTTTCCACAGTTCGACCAGAGCATCGACAGGAGCACCAGCCTTATCAACTGGAAATTCCCCCAGAGCCTTCAGGAATCCATCTGGATCCATCTGGCTCTGGGGGCGGATCAACACAATAGGGTCCTATCTATTTATATATAATCCAATTATTATGGCATGAGAGCCAATATAGACCTGTAGTCAAAGACTAGGATATGGGATCAAATTGCACCTTGATACACGCCTAGTTCATAGCATCTTTTCTTTGTACTTCAGGTTGCAGGGGTGTGCACACATATGCTGAGAGAGCATGCTTGACATTAATGTTTAGTTCAGACCTGGAACACCTACAATCCACCCAGCCACATGAAACCTAGCAGTGGCTCACAAAGCACCTGATTTTGCTCCCTTTGTGCCATTAGAGCAACCAGCAGAGCATAATTATTTGGGCTTGGTGCATTGCGAGCTGTACAAGACGGGTCCAGAACAGGGAAGCTTAAGGAATAGCACTAACTGCCTAGCAATACAATCCATTTTGTTCCGTAGGACTTGCTCCCAGGACAATGTGTACGGGGTAGCAGCCAAGTAGCTAAACAGAATCGCCATGTACCGCTGGCCCCTCCACTCTGGTAGCTTCCAGATGAGCTGGACGTCAACTCCCAGCATTTCCCAGCCAGCCTTACTGCTAGGGGAAGTTGCGCATCATGCTGCAATGCACTGGGAGGGCAGGGCACCAAGTTGAGAAAGGCTGCCATAGCATGGGCGGTACATGACGGGGTCCAACAGGAGGGGGACACGCACACTCGGCTTATGGGTGCCCAATGGCATCGGGCTGCCCCCTGTTGCCAACAAAATTCTGGAGGCCATGGACCTTTGGGGGCTGGTATGGGAAGGTGGCTCTTAGGCAAGAAAGCAAAGGGAGTAAAAATGATGATCGTTATAGGAAGGGGATTTCAGAAAAAGCAACTGCTTGGCAAGCAAATGAACAGGGATCTAGACAACAGGAAAAATGAAAAGAAAACATCCAGGCCTTTCATGTGTTTGCTATGAGTTACACCCCAAATAATGGATATCCCAGAGAGCTTTTATTAGCATGAACAACAAATGTGATTTTTCTCCTACTTTTGTTTTAGGATATCATTGCAGATGCATATAAAAGTTGACGAGGATATTCCTTACTACTAATAAATAACCACAGGTTTTCCTGGCTGATAACTTTGTTCTGCTATCTTCAAGCCTTCACATGCCTGTGATTTAGGAGGCACCCAACTCCCCTCTGCTGGCAGCTGATTTTTGTACTGCTGCTTTCCTTACTCTGTAATTTATGCAGCCACGATGCAGTTTAGTCCTTGGACTGAAGGGCTTGATTCTATGGGAATCTGCACCGCAGAAGCAGCTGAAATGATACAGAGGGTGGCAGTCACGCTTACGTCAGGTTTAGAGAAGTCCCATTGAAGTCAATGCAACCTGCGGTGGCCGTGACTGAATTCTCATTGGTTCCAATAGGTTGGGGGTCCCAACCTTTTTGGAGCCGTGGGCACATAAGGGCATTTCAGAAACTGCTGTGGACACCACCACAAAATGCCCAATCAGTGGACTGCCACTACGCCATCTATTTTTTGGATCTTAAACTGTTTTTTATCCAGTAAAAATGTTTGTTTCATGCCAGCTGGGCACTGAGTCGTCTCTTTAGTAAGAGATTTTCTGGTTCAGCTCGTTGTACCAGGTCAAAGGGATATCTGGTAGGGGTAACCCACAGTCTGGTGGGTCTAATACAATATTTTGAGCTACACCAGTTGTTATCCAGAAACTCCAGTCAGGCCAGTTGTAGAGCAATGGATTCACAGATATCCTCTCTGTGCTTCTGGGGATGTTCTTGCTCAAATGCACCTTAATATGTTAATCATTGATTCTTATTTGGAGCTCATTTTGAACCAAGCTGGCAATGCTCATCTCCAGTGGTGGTGAGTTCTAAAGGATAGTTTCAGACTGCATGCACCTTTTATTTCCTTTTTGTATGTTTTGGAATGAAATTCTCCAAAAGAAAAAGCATGCCAATTTTCAAAACCAATGTTCAGCGTTTTGCTATTTTAAGGCAGGTTTGTTGAACAACTTTATGCCATACCCAGCAGTTTTTAACATCCAACTCGTCAACTGTTAGATTTGTTGGAACAGCAATATGGCTGCAGGAAAAAAAAGGCCATTATGAGGTCGACATTAAGAATTTTCTCAGGACCATATCAGAAATATATATCTAATGTGTCTTTAACTCAAGGATTATCATCCTATTCCCTTTGCTGGATATAAAGTCCTTAATGTAAGGTATTGTCAAATCCCTCAAAGCAAGGTCCCGTCTCGACAGCTATTCTGCTGTCATATGCGATTACAAATTTGCACATCCATGAAAAGATTCTCAGTTTGAGGTGCATCACTGATACTAAGGAATAAATCACTGAGATGGCTTCATTTTCGGCAGTAGCCCAAACACAGCAGAGATCTGTGCCGATCTCAAATTGAGTCCTCTGCCTTTGGAGGAAAATGATAGCAGCCATTGTAATCATGAGGGCAGTGGCTCCGGGAGGCTCCGGGGGAGGAAGGGAGGGAGGCTTTTGTCTGCTCATCTGTGCATTCCCATTAGGGTGGCTTGTTGAAGCCCGTGAACTGGCCCCACAGAATTGGCAGCAGAATCCCGCGGGGTTCTGCAAAGGCTTCTTGCGGCTGAGTAAGTTGCACTAGACCAGGCTGATCAGAACTGCGTGCCTTCCTGGGCTACTGGGCTCGGCACTCCCTCATTTAAACTCACACTCAGCTTTTGCAGATGAAGTTTTAAACTGGCAGGAGGCATATATGGTGGCTCCGTGCGTATGCATCATTGGAAGCTTGGAGGACTGGCCTTCCCCAACACTGACCCCTGCAGATCATTGGACTGTATCTTTGGACTCTGCAAGTTCCATGCTAGGCGTCCTCATCCAAAACATCTGGAAGACATCATCAATGTGGTGTCTGGAAGGCTGGATTAGACACGGAGGAGAGATCAGTCAGCATCCGGGAGGCCTGACAGTGAAGTGGAAGTCCTCTTCAGCAGACATCTGCATAGCTGGGAGGACTGCAACCTTCACGGCCTGCTTAATCCTTCCAGGCAGCATCTGGAAGGATGCTGCAGCAGGAACAGATGCTGGAGCGTAGGGCCCACCTGTCTGATCTGGCAAGGCAGTGCGGATTGTCTGGGCTTACTGTGGCCACTCACTCCTCCAGACCGTCCTTGCTGCCCAGCTCCACATGAGGTCTCTCCTGTGCAGGACCTTGCTTGGAACCGCCCCAGGAAATGGCATCCGAGCAGTACCTTGTATTCTATATATGATTTATTTAAGAGAGGTCTATGCTGTTTTTAAAATATCAGCCCCCCCCCCGCCCCGGGTGCTGTACAAATGATAACATCATCTTAAAACATACTTTTAAAACAATGTTTAAGCCCACTTCCCCAGTCTGGGATCCTCCAGATATTTTGGCCTAGAACTCCCGTCTGCCACAGCCAGCAGGCTAAATGGCAAGCAGGATGCAAGTTCAGATTACTGGATGGGACCCACGTTGTTTGGGCTGAAACGGAAATAGAAGGAGGCTGGGGAAGGCTGAACCCAATGAAGCAGAAACAGCGACATGAAGGTCACATATCCTGTCTTTCAGCGTTCTGCTCACAAGGTGGCCAGCAAGCTGCCGGTGGGAAAACCATGCGAGGGCGCGGATGCAGAAGCTCCCTCCTGACCAGGCTCCTCAGCAGGCTGTGTGCGGAGGCGTCCTGCCTCCGGTCCTGAGCTCAGCGTGCAGCCATCTGGGCTAGTGGCCACCAATACCCTTCTCTTCCATGCATTTGTCCCATCTCCTTTCAAAGCTGTCTAAATTGGTGGCCGACTCAAAATTTTGCAGAAGCAAATTCCACATGTTAACTATGCTGTGTGTCACACGAGAGGCCATTCCTTCTAGGAGCCTTTGACCCATGGTAGCTTGTACGCTAAAACTCAGAAGAAGAGTTCAGAATCATTACAAAAAGGGAAGAAAGCCTTGCAAAGGAAGTCACTATTACATTGGAAGCGACCCATCTTTACACAGATGTATGAACAGGGCCATTCCAGCCCTAGGAAAAGGTCTGGCATCTTCTAGCAACTCCTTCCTCGTGGCTGAGTGTTCGGCTCCCATTTAGGCCCAGCCATGGTTGAAGGGGGAGCTTCTCCTCCACAGGCAGCAGCCTTACCTTGCGTGCTCAGGTCTGCCGTGCTTTCAGCATGTTCTGCCAGCGTCTGGCTTGGGGAAATTATCGGAGGGCTGAACACATTCACCCAGTCCCTGAAAAACAATTTGAGCCATCACTTTAGGGGAAAAGGTGTGGTTTACACAACAGCATGTGCAGCCGTGTGTAACATGCAGCCATTAAATGTCCAAGAACGCTTCCTTGCCTCCTTCTCCTGCCCCACAACTTCTACTTGTCTTCTGACCCAAATGTGATAGGAAGGAAAGTTTAAAAAGGGTCAGATGCAGCACCCAACAGTAGCCCAAAGCATTTCGTTGGATTTCACTTGGTATTCTGCTTTTTTATGGATGGACTAGAAAAGCCTGCTACACTCTGTCCTCTGCCTTGCATTTGATGTGACCAGCGACTTCTGAACTCGTAGCATGTACCTGAGTACCAATGAGCTTTATTTGATATTAGCAACTCAGTACTTGCTTGTATCAAGTAAGGATAGTTGGTATCCAAGGATGAGATGCACAAATGCTCTCAACAGCGCACAATTAAATGCAAGGCAAAGAAGTCTGCGCGCATGCGCACATGTGCACGCGCGCACACACACACACTTACACACAAGTGTGCTTTTAAAAAGTAACTCAAACAACGGTGCTCATAGAATTGATGCAACATCATAAACAGGAGAGCAATCCAGAGATAGTACTGATACTAAAAAAATCCAGGGCTTGCCATGTTTCGCCCTCAGTCCTCCAACCCCCCTCATGTATCCCAGTGTCCTTTGCAGCGCATCCTTGTCCCTCTGGAGGCAAACTTTTCCGGCTCCTAGTTTTCTGCCCAAGCTCAGCTCACAACTTATCCCCCTCGCCCACATTTTCACCGCTTTGGAAGTAATCAAATGAATTTGGATTTCTTTTTTTTCCACTTGCAAACAACACACACACACACACACACACACACTCCAAATTAAACAAAGGAACCCATTTGTGCAGTAATTATACCCGTACTTTTGCAGTAATTAGAACTGCCTATCTCAATAGCTCCATCTGCTTTTGATGTTTAGAGTCAATGAAAGCGCTAAAATGGGGGAGGAAATGGACAGCTCTGCGTTTAAGAAGGAGGGTGGGAGAACAAAATCCGTAAGTGGGAATTTACTGTACCCCCCACCCCCACCCAACTGGGATCTTTTTTAAAGAGTAATTACTTAATTCACAACTTACTTTGTTCTCAACTTACAAGAGAAGTGCCAAATTGGAGCAGGTGATTTGTAAGGAAATTGACAAAGTGCATACACTACTTTGGACTATACACAGTGGGCAGGCAACTTTGCAAACTTGTGAAGGGCCAGGAAAAAAAAATGAACTCAGCTGCACACTCGAGACACACACACAACCCTAACTAAAAGGAACATAAGCTTGCGAAAGTGCTCAGGGCCTTCCCAGGCGTCATTTCTGAAACACAGGAAGGTGACATTATCAGTGAGGGAGAAGAGAGGCTGGAGGTAGTGTAGGACATACCTGGCTGGCCGGCATTAAGCCTGGCCAGGCTGGCCCCATACTGAAGCCTTATCAGTGCAACTGGTCAAGGATTTAGAGGAACCCCTCTCCCAAAGCTTCCAGCCCCACCTCCAGGTAGCCCAGTCTCCCAGGTAAACGCAGGGACCACCTGAATTTGAATGCACCAATCGGCAAACATGGCAGCAATTTCAACCCAATAAGCAGCTGTCTTTGCTCCCTGGTCATTCAGGACATCCCATGCACTTGAGGTCAACTGCCATGTCGCTGTGATCGAACTCGATTCTCGGGAATGAGGTTTTTCTACCCCTCATCTTCGGCATGCTTAACGGGGCTGAGAGAGCCAGGTCTGGACCCCTGGACTCCAACAGTCTCACCAGTGAGACTGAGAGCAGCAGCTGGGCTTTTCATCACTCTCGCCAGGCAGCTCTGCAGCCCAGGCAAGCAGCCACAGAAAGCCACACTGCTGGGCTTGCATGCCACAAGCGCCCCAGGAAGGAGCCACCCTCAAGAAGCCAGCATTTCTCGGGATGGCTTGTGGGTGGCCAGGAAAGCAAGCTGAATTGGGCCGGCTGGCTTTGGGCAGCAGGATGAGCCCCACGGGCAGAAGCAAGGCTCTTCTCGTGCTGCGTGCATCAGGTCGGGAGGCTGGCTCCAGCCATCCCCTGGCTGAGCAGCCATGGGGGACGGTTGTGCCATCCTCACCCTGCGTGAGCTCAGTAACGGGGCTTATCCTTCATGAAAGAGCCATCCTGAGAACTCCTGGCTTCTTCAAGGGCTTGTTCAATCCACAATGCGCTGTCCTGTCATCCAAAGCCAGGGGATTGGTTTCGGCAAGGGCTGTTCGGGATGGCCACCGCTGCTGGGTGCAGGGCCTGCCCCTTGGGGTCTCACAATGACTGCCCTTCCGCAGATCTTGAAACGGCAATTGAGAGGAACGGGCCCTTGTCTCTTGGCTTTCAATTCTGCTTAAGTGCAGTTGGGCTCATTTCTTTTTCCGCTGTTGGAAACTGCACTTTTTAAAAAAATCAGTCCTTTGAAGCTGCACAAGTGCACACTTCCAGCTATCTAGTACAAGGTGAGACTGCATACAGGCTAATTTGTGCACAGTTGTGAGGGACGAGTGTCTAGCTGTCAGTGAAAAAGCTCTGGCAAAAGGCAAACAAATGGAGAAAGATGGTGCATACAAATAAAGCGGGGACATTACCAGCCCTTGGCGATACAACTGTTTCCATTTTAAGTGTTAAGCAGACAGTTCACAGTACCCTCTGTCTTTTCAGCACCTTCCAAGCTCTGCAGCTACTCCAGTAAACAGAGGTAGTAACTTGACCTGCTCCCCAGTTTACTGGTGTTTTTCAACTGATAGCTGGGCAACGGTGCACACATTAGCCTACATGTAGTTCCATATTGCCCTACCTTTGACAATTGAAACAGCCAAGGGGATTGATCAGGCAAGATCACAAGCCAGTGATCACAAGAAGACAGTGGGGAAAGCGGGGCAGAACAATCCGTGGTGAGCGGATCATCAAACATGTTGCAGTAGATCATTTTGGAATCATACCAACGTGTCACAGAACCTCCCTCCTAAAAGAGACTAAACATGGACATTTCCAAAGTGTGTTACTGTTTCAGTTTTAAAAAAGTGGAACTGCAGAATTATCAAAGAGGAAATGCAGAGGAAGGGGTTCAAATCTCTGAGCAGGAGCTCTAAGTAAGTGCCTCCATTTTGGCCACCAGAAGCTCTATGAGGATCATCCCTAGACTCTAGAGTTTTTTGTGGATATTTCCAGGCAGCCCATGAGAGCTAGAGACCCTAAACAAGAAAGACAGAAAGATGGACAGAAATGTGGATGGAGAGACAGATTGGCAGAAAGAAGGTTGAGACTCTTCACTGGAAATGAAACTCTGCTATTCACTGCATGGTTGTATTGCCACAAAGAAATAGTATTCCTGCTCCAGGGATCAATTCTTCAGTAAAAAAAACAAACAACAAAAATTACAACATCCCCAAACATTTCTAGTAGTTCCTGAACCAGGCCATTTGAATGAGCAACTTTCAAAAATGCTTCTTTGACAAAGTGCTGTCCTGTGGAAATAATTTAATACTGACATTGCTTAAATGCAGCATGCAACCCTAAAAGCTGATTCAGCAAAATATCCAGCAAAGGTTTCCAGGGTTGCATCTTGGAAAATTACTTCAGAGTCAGACCTGCCGTAATAAAACTACACGGCAATCCCCTTTGCTAGTGTCGGAGAGAGAAAGGAGGCAAAACACCTTTCCTAGAACTATATACCATTTGAACGCGTGAGGTCTTGGACACCTTCTACTGCTGGGGCTGGGGAAGGCTAGATTAGAAAGGCTTGGAGATGGACAATACATGATTTAAGTAGTTGAGGATATGGTATGAAAGGGGAATAACCCCCCCCACACACACACAAACACAAATCTAAAGAAAGGTTGGTACATCATGCGCTGCGGTGCCTTCATCACAAGAATTTCAGTTCCATTGTTTAAAAAATAAGTCTATTGCCCACTGGCGAGTGCAAAAGTATGAGCTTGCATTACATACTACACAGTCAGTGGACCATTTAAATCAAAAATACGTTCTTCAGATTTAAGAAAAGGCCAAGCCTTAAATGAAGATTTATCAGCATGGGACTTCAATGTTTGTTACACAATTACTAATAGATATTTGTTTGGTAAAGGCAGCTGGTATCCCCTTATTTTATATATATACCCCTTCTTTTATATATACCATATCTCTACAGATTTTACTCTCTAAACACAGCCACTGAGCACTTCCACAGATGTCATTCTGCAAACTGCAAATAGCACTTACAGAACTCAGGTGAATGCTTTAGTTGTGCAAGTACTTGGACATTCTGCTTGCACAACCTGTCAGACAACCTCTTGCCCATACAACCTCTTGCCCAAAGGTTGCACAATCTTTGCTTCAATGCTCCTCTTGTTCCTAATTTGGACCCTTGTTTCTGCAAGCACAATGACACGATAATGTCTAATGATAATATGCTGAATCCTAGAACCCAGGATTAGAAACCTGAAACTTTTCTAATGAAACTTTTATAGCAGCGGGAACATTTCTTGTGTAGAACAGTCAGGCAGGCAGGCTTTAAGCATGACTTTCCAAGATGCCCAGGCCTTAACAGCTGCAGACACCCCCTCAAGATGTAAACGCAACTGAAAATCAAACACAGTGGCAAACTATATATTTAGTCACAGCACAACATTTCTCTAGCTCCAACATCCTGTGAATCAGTTTGAGCAATGACTATGCATCTGTGTCCCCTCCTTCCATTGTACAAGGGATAGGATTAATATTCTGGACATCTGTTAGCTGTGGACTGTTTTCTGTCTGCCAAAGCTTCTGGATAAATGACACCCAACTGCTTTAATGTATTATTTCAGATCCATTCAGAAAGCATACCAGATAAAACTCGGCTACATTTTCAGCTTCCTCCCACTATACATTCAATTTCAAATCAATATGTGAAATTCAGCCTGCTCCCATCTCATCACCTTGGTCATCGGCTTTCCTTTGCTGCCCAGCTGCCCTGCCACCACATTCGCA